GGTGAAGCCTCCCCCGCCTCCCCCGAACCCGAACTGGATCCCCCCTCCCCCTCCCCCTCCCCCTCCTCCCCCGGCCCCTGAGCTTCCGGCCCCGCTCACCGCCGGCGCTGCCTGCGGGTTGGGCGTCTCGCAGCAGATGCACTTCTCTATGTCCTTCTCGTTCATCACCTTGCACGTCGCGCACCGCCACTGCCCTGGCTTGACCTTGAACTTCTCTGCAAGCGACACCCCCGCGTCCACGGCTGGTGCCTCCGCTTCTGGCGCCGCCTCGTCCTCTGACGACCCGATGTCCAGGTCTGACCCGCTTGACTCCTCCTCCTCCTCCTCCTCCTCCTCTTTCGTCGCTTGCTCCTCCTCCTGTCTCTCCTGCTTCCCGGCGTCCTTGCTGGCCTCTGCCCCGGCTGGCTTAGGTGCCTCCGCTGCTCCCAGCCCGGCCCCGATGCTCGCCCCTCCCGTCCCGAAGGTGAACGCTCCTCCCCCGCCTCCCCCGGCCGTCCCTCCCGTCCCGAAGGTGAAGCCTCCCCCGCCTCCCCCGAACCCGAACTGGATCCCCCCTCCCCCTCCCCCGAACCCTCCTCCCCCGGCCCCTGAGCTTCCGGCCCCGCTCACCGCCGGCGCTGCCTGCGGGTTGGGCGTCTCGCAGCAGATGCACTTCTCTATGTCCTTCTCGTTCATCACCTTGCACGTCGCGCACCGCCACTGCCCTGGCTTGACCTTGAACTTCTCTGCAAGCGACACCCCCGCGTCCGCGGCTGGTGCCTCCGCTTCTGGCGCCGCCTCGTCCTCTGACGACCCCGATGTTTAGGCTTGAGTCCGTTGAGTCGGACTCAGATTGTCTGTTTTCTCCGATGGTTGGTTTCTCGCTTGTATTTAACGCTTGCAATGGTTTAATTCCTTGCTTATTGTTGGTTGGTTGATCCTTTGATGGTTCAACGTCGTGGGAGGCATTGGATTTCTTTTCTTTTGCTGCAAGTTTGTGTTTGATTTTGTCTTCGAGATCTCTCAAAGGAGTTGGTTCGGACAAATGTGATATTTTGACTGGCATGCACGATTGGATCCCTGGTATCTTGACCTCTGCAACATCGCCGTCGATTCGCAAGATCATGCCCAGGTACCCTTCGTCAGTCTCAACCTGCACAATTCAAAGTTTAAGAACATCATGTTGGGATTTACAAAACGTTTGATGATCATCATAATTCATAGAGAGAGAAGGAAGTTTCCATTGTTCTGCTGAGCGAACGGACATCTGCAGCATAGATGGCAACTTTCGATGGAACTCAAACAACATCTCACATCAACAGCAAACATGGCAAACAGGAATTCATCTACACGTGACATCTGTACATGATGGGAAGAGAAGATGAAACAAGTTGATTGTTCATCTCACCATCATATTCTCCCGCCATCTTCCCTCATCCAATCCTGCTCGTGCGTGCGCCATTTGCCCGCCAAACTCAAACTGCACCACCCCACAAAATGTCCACCCCACTCCCTTTCAGAGTACCGGTGATTTAGTCATAATATACGTGGGGTACTATCATGGGGGGGGGGGGGGGGGGGGGGGGGGGGTTTTCTCTTGAGACGCGAGCCAAGTTCTTCGGGATATCTGAACACCCAAAAAAGAATAAAAAAGAATTAAAAAGAATGTGTAAAACAAAAACTGCAGTCGGAGGGCTGTCGGAGGGTAGAAAGAAAGATCAGGAGGAGGAGGAGGAGGAGGAGGAGGAGGAGGAGGAGGAGGAGGAGGAGGAGGAGGAGGAGGAGGTAGCAAGAGGGATGGTCAACTACTCGAATGATGAAGTAGAAGATAGGACCAAAGGAGACTGGAGAGTCGGGAAAGGAGGGGGATGGGGGGGAGCAGAGGTGAACGAGTTCGGGTTAGAGGGACGAATAGTGTGCGGAGGAAAAGTTTCGAGATGTGAGGATAGAATGTTGCTGCGGAGGTGTGAGGATAGGGAGCGAGAGGATGCAATCATCAACTTTTTGAGACTGCACGAGGATAGCGAAGCTCATCCGCTCTGCTGCTGCAGTCTCCGCCTCCTGTGTTCATCTCATGCGGATCATCGAGGCCTCTTGACCAGCAAGTTGGCAATATGCCAAAGTGGGAGAAGGCGAGAAGACCTCGAAGGATGCACCTCCTTGCAGTGATGGCCCTTCTCCTCCCCTTGCCGGTGTTCTGGTGCGTTCGAGCTGTCGTGAGCAGGGCGGGGGGTCCGGGCTTGCCTTCAGGGTCCCACGATGCTCAAGTGATAATCGCACACCTTAACCCCCTCCCCTCCCCTCTCCCTTCACCCTTCTCCTTCCCTCCCCTCTCCCCTATCTCTTCTTTTCTCCTCCCCTCCCCTCCCCTCCTCACAGGCTGGTCAGCAGGTCTCGGGGATGGATCTGTTGCAATGGCTGCTCTTCTCGGGGGGACACGCGAACAAGATCGCCATCGCCAACTTCACGTGCGTCATCTTCAGCAGAGGGTGTGCAGCAAGGAGTGAGTGGCTTGCAGACACGGGGGCAGCAAGATTCGCGGGCTCAAGGCAGTGGCGGATATTCCAGCCAATTTTACGCTGATAGAGGTCGGACACCTCGGACAGTCACCCTCGACGTGCTGACGCCGACGATGCTCGTCAGGTCCCGCGCGCGTTGTTCATCTCAGGAGAGGTACGTGAGGAGACGATGTGGATAGGAGGCGACGATCGCATGCCGTCTGCTGAGCCCCTTCCAGGACATTGACCCCAGAGATCTCTCGTTTCCAGTCCTCGAGCTGCAGGAGTCCTCCGATGTGCTGCTGGCCGTCAAGTTCTGGCAGGAGTTCACGCGCGGGAGAAGGTCCCAGTGGTTCCCCTACCTGAAGGTACAGGCTGAACGCGCTCCGAGGGTCCGCTGAGGTCCTGGAACCCTCAGGTCCTTCCTAGTGCCATGGAGCTCTCTCGCTTCCACCCCATGTACGCCGACGATGTCGTGCTGCAAGCATGCTCGGTGCTGCCGACGATGCACAAGGTGAGGGAGGTCGCTGGGTCGCAGACTGTTCACGAGGCCCCGTCAGGTCAGGAGGGCGAAGCGGCGCGTAGAGAAAACGTAACGCTGGATGAGTCTGAGTCCGGCATCGACCCTGTTGGCAGTTACAGGGAGGCCAACATTCACCGGACCATCCCTTGGAAGGAATTTTGGCACAGCTACGTCACGTGGGGGAGATAGGCGATCCCTTGGAGGGCCTGACGGCTCTCGCGCCCTTGCAGGTACATATCGCGGTCGTACGGGGTCGTGCTGCGGTCGAGGCGGGGAGGGATGAAGTGGCAGCCCGTGAGTCATCGAGGGACGGAGTTGGCCGTCGGTGAACTTTGTGCCCTGTCGTGCAGGTGTCTGTACCGTTGGCGGACATGGGCAACACGGCGCTGCAAGGTGACGTCAACACGAGGTGAGAGGAGGGGGCGAGAGAACTGCAGCTGGTCCCTGGTGACGCCTCGTGGCAGGTGGAGGTACGACTCCAGGTCGCAAGTCTTCCTGCTGGAGTCCACCAGGGCGATCCCAGCTGGTTCGGAGCTGTTGGAGTCGTAAGATGTGAGATTGGGGCTTGGCTCCTCTGACTAGCGCTGGTGCTCGGAAGGTACCAGGTGTCCTCCCTCAAGGACAATGCCCATCTTGCATACATGTACCTCTGCTCTCTCTCGCTCATCGGCATTGCGAAGCCTTCCTCACCCCAGCTTCCCAGGTTCGGCATGACGATGGACGGCAACCCGGTCAAGGTCGATTCTCTGACAGACCTCCACGTGCTGACAAGATCAGGTCAAGCGCCTGACGCCGCAGGAGTGCCTCAAGCTGGAGGAAGATTGCCTCTCGGCAGGGAAGGAGAAGGTGGGCATGGGGGCCGGAAGGAGGGTTTAAGGGATCCCTGACCTCGACCTGCTCAGCTCTCTCAGCTCCTCCGCACGCTGGTAAGTGAACATTGCGGCAACAAGTGAAGGCACTGCGTGGTTCTCACAAATCATCTTCACATTTCACAAAGAATACGGTTGAAAAAAAACAACCTCCTCCTCTTACTTTCTATCCCCTCCTGTTCACTCACTTCACTTCTCATCTTCATCCTTTCTACTTCTTCTTTCTCCCTTTCTCCTTGTTTCATGGTAAAGCTTATGCACTTGCTATCGGATCGAATCGCGTGAAGCGAGTCCAGTCCTTCCCATCGCTGAGGGCCATGCCAATCCCGTGACTGCCGGACTCCCTGGAAGAGGAGGAGTAGTACAGCCTGAGACAACCAAAACGGCGATCACATGAGGGTCGAAGGCATCTGATAGGAGGAGTGCAAAAGCGACGATAACGGTGAGGAGAAGAACAAAGGGACGAGGAGCATGAGGGCACGAGGAGCGGGAGCAGGGGCAGGGGCAGGAGCAGGAGCAGGGCACACCTGCAGGATCCATCCTCCATCGGGACGACCCAAGGGCAGCCGACGTTCTCAGCATCCCACGCACCTTCCTCCTGCGATCCTTGTAACACCTGCAAAGATTCACTCGCTACTCTGCACACGGGCAGGAGCAAGGGACCGGCTTGTCGGAGGATCGCTCCCATTTGAGTCCATCCGAGGACTTGTAGAGGCCGATGCTATGCCTTCCATCCATATCCACACCCTCGACAAACATGAGATACCCAGCCGTCTGCTCATCTCCCGTCATCGCTGCACTATAAAGCGAGCAGGAGCAGGAGCAGGAGCAGGAGCAAGAACGGGAGCAGGAGCAGGAGCAGGTTCAGGAGCAGGAGCAGGAGCAGGAGCAGGAACAAAAACGGCAGCAGGAGCAGGAGCAGGAACAAGAACGGGAGCAAGAGCAGGGGCGATGCTTCACCTCCGGATCCTCCACCACATGCCTCCTGCCGCAGCCGCGGGCATCAAAGGCATCTCCTCCACCTCCGTTGATCACCATCCCCTCCTGCCATCCTCCGTCAGGGTCAGGCCTGGGACCGCGGCTCCTCTCGCCTTCTTCCACTTGATCCCGTCCGTCGAGCGGGCGAGCCCGATGGAGTACTTAGAGGTCTGGGGGTCGAAGGAGCTGTAGTACATGCGGAAGTCGTTGTCGGAGTGCTGCACCACCTGACCACCAGCCCAATCAGCAGGTGCCCAGCTAGTGCTCGGCTGCTCACCGTCGGCCATGCATTGAAAAGGTGGTCCCACTCCCCCTTCTGCCCGACGTCGAACACGGCTCCGCTGTGATGATCTCCTTCCAGCCTCGTCCTGTCAAAGATCACACCCTGGCGGCCTCCTCCTCCCTCCCGCTCACCAGTGGACGCCGTCGAAGCTCAGGCACAGCCCGATCCTCATGCGAAGACCCTGGGACAAGCGTGACTTGCCTCCCAGCCAGCAGAGGCTATCGGCCCACCTTGACGGCCACACCCTCTGGGATCTTCTGCCCTCCCATCTCGATACCACCAACGTCCACCTCCTCCTGGTCACCTGCCCACCGACCCCTGTCACCCCACGGCACCGAGATCTCCCAGTCTACCTCCAAAGAAATACATGAACTGAACGGTCCCCTGCCGATCTCCCGACCCTCGGATCTTGTCTGTCTTGATGCCCTGCACATCCCCTACCCCCACGTGCGAGGTGTCGAACCCCCACCACTCCTCCTTGTTCGGCGTCAGGACCGCTCCGAGATCCTCGTCCCCGTCCACTCGCTCCCAGTGCACGCCGTCGGGCGACTCAGCCAGGCCGATCCGGCCCGTCGGCTGGCTGAAGACATCGTTCCCAAAGTTCAGGTCTCGTCCATGGTACCTGCAGCAACTTCACAATCATCTACAGTCCCCCCCCTCCCCCCCCCCTCCCCCTCCCCCAACAGTCTCATAACGGTTCCTCCTGCCAAGATTCTGATTCCAGGCCATCGCCGTTACTCACCACATCCTCCAGTTCTCGCCGTCTTCGTCCTTGTACCTCTGCACGACTGGGTTTGCGAATCGGGGGGAATCGAAACGATCCTGCCGGCCCGGGCCCAGCACGAGCCCCTTGCAGGAGGAGATAGACCGCCAAGGGGCGCTGGTAGCCTCGCATGCCCTCGGAACAAATCTCGCACGGTGTCGGTCGCAGGTACGAGAGGCACGGATTGAGGTTGGCAGGAGCGAAGGAGGGCGGAGACCAAATGCATCAGCAGCCTCCTGGGACGAGACCGTCATCATTCGGGCCGCTCGTTGCGAAATGACCGCTCTTACCAGCAGCTGGCAGAGCACGACGACTACGAAGACTTCCTTACCGCCTTCAAGAAATGTATTAGAACAGTTGTCAGCCGCATATCGGCCAACACATGACAACATGGCGGTAGACGTTCTCCTTGCTGGTGATCTACTGGCTCCTTGCGTTGTTTCCCCTGGATCCCACCAGATCCACACACTGAGCATTAAGCTACCCGCTTGTATGTCGCTCCTATCACCTGCACTCTCTCGCTTTCTGCTCATCATCATCCTTGGAAATGTCATGATGTCTTACATTTCCTCAAATCATCACTCGTTGCCTTCCTTTCGCCTTCTCCTCCTCAACTGCCCCTCTCATTTTCCCGCTCTTCGCTCACCTGCCATGGTCCTTATGACCCCCACCCCACCCCATAGTGTTTATATTCTACCCCACCGTAAGTCACAGCACACCCATCAAATGAACACCCACCCGTTTATCATTCACTGAAGACTATAAACACCGGTACTACATGGACCCTACCTTCTTCCAAAAAAATCTGTATGCACCCTACCGTCACTTTCCATTCTCTTTGCGGGTACCGTGATGGGTATCGTGACCAGAATTTTCAGCGCCCGACTACCCGTGGGTGTGAGGGGATGAGGTGTCGACCTGGGGATGGTCGGTGGGTGGTCCTGGACAGTACGGTGGGGTATGAAATTGGAAGGTAGGGGTAGTGATCTAGTGTGTAGTTGTGTCGTAGTACAGGGGTCTAGATAGGGAGGGGTCCTGTGAATACAAGAGGGTCATCAGAAAAAATGACTCGTCTGTTCCACTAGGGGTACTCTATGGAGGGTACCTCTCGGACGACCACGGGTGGGTGTACAGGTGAGTAACTGGAGGTGGGTGGGGGGTGGTTGCTTGTGACGAGGATGGCCTCCATGGCTCAGGAAAGGAGGAGGGGAGCGGTGGGCGAAGGCGAAGAGGCCAGAGGATGCAGAGCGACAGGATCAGCCATGAAGGCAGCAATGGTGGCAGCGACTCTCCTTGCCCTCACTGCCAGAACCTCGGCGCTCGTGATCTCCAGCGACTCTGCTTCCCTCAAGGGCCTGAACTGCGCGTTCACCGCTCCGGCCCTCTCCAGTGGCCTGCATGGTGCTGTTCAGAGGAAGGCTGTATGCCTCAGGCAGAAGAGCACCAGAGATGATGGCGCTACGGAAGAAGAAGTGCAGAGAGCGATGGAGTACTACAAGGAGCTGATGAGAACGAGGAACAACGGGAAGGGATACTGGATGGACGACTTCTTCCCGTTCGCGAACATGTTGAGGAACATCCAGGAGGGTTTGAAGAGGAACTTCGAGCAGAAGTCTGGGGAAGAGTTGTTGCAGGAAGCAGCTAAGGAAGGTCTGATCGATCTTAGGTCGTCTCCCTTCACTCCCATCTCCGACCTGCCAGACACCCCAATGCCCAAGGCAGAGGCTGTGCAGAAAGAGCCTGAGGTGAAGACAGAAGTAGCCAAGGCCGCGCCAGAGGAAGACGATGTGAGTGATGCCTGCCTTGTTGGCCGGCATGTTACACTGACCATGGCTCGTCTCGCAGGAGGATTTGTTGGAATTGAAGAAGAAAATGGAGGCGGCGAAGAAGAAGAAGAAGCAGGGAAAGTAGATGTTTTTGGTGTAGGGGTTCTGGTCGTCTTGATGTACTTAAAACAAAACTTCAGATTTTCTAATGCTCGGGTGTTTGCATTTTCAGGATTTTATTGCGGGGTCGCGTTCGAAACACCTACTAACACTGACATACCTTGATGGGAACTTTGCGATTTGTACAAAATATGCTAGCGCTTGCACGCTGCATGTTAACGAAGAGAGAGACAGAGAGTGAGAGAGCTGCAGTCTAGACGGCATTCAAGGGGACATGGGGTGTCGAGCTATGTACGTCCGGCTGTTGGGTGTAGAGGACCTGAAGTAGTCGTCTGCGGTTGAGAGCAGCAGCAGCGGCCGAAGCTTGGGAGGGAGGGAGGTATTTGACGCCATCCTCTCTTCCGCGTTCCTGCAGCATCAGCTCACCTCACGCAAGCCGATGCTCGTGATGATAGATACCTCCTCGTTGCCATGAGCTTCGTCTCGCGGCGATTGAGCTTGCCTACCTTGCCGAGCTCGGGTTGGATCACCTGTCACAGCGACGAGGTCATGAGAGATTTGTAGGGTCGATCCCCCGCATACCTTGAGACTAGCGGGAGAGAGTTGTCGTGCTGTGAAGGATGAAGCATTTCAGCGACCCCACGAGTCGAGGGCTGAGTGACCTGAAGTCCTGCTCCTGGTTGACTCGTTGGATGGTGAAGCCGGCCCCGGGCTGAAGCTGCTGGAGGATATCTGACCGCATGTATTATGCTAGTTGTCCATGTAGCACTGCAATAAGAAACCTGCTTGTCGCTCATCTTGACGTTCACGGATATTCCTGTGTTGAAGAGCAACACATGGCTGGGGTCATCCCATCGCATGTTGGAATCCTGCGCATGTGGCGGGATGTCGTGCAGGTTGATGACGGGATCGAAGGAAGAGGTGGGGGATGAAAGTAAGATCTGCTTCTTCATCGCTAGCCTGCCGTCTGCTCGCGTTTGTTTGGCTGTCTTGACGAGTACCTCTTTCTTCTCGCGGAAGGTGTGATCTGAAACCAAACCTTCACCCTCTTCGTGCCTGGCTGCCATCGGGCTGAGAGCGTCTTGGTCTTTCCCTTGTTGTTCCGATCCGAAGACTGGGATCTTACCCTTTGACGATGAAGGGAACAGTGGGGAAGGCGGGTGTAGCAAGGCATTGATTTCCGTCGCTGCGGCAGTGTTCGTCGATGAAGAGGAATCGTTGACATCGAGGGTATTGATGAGTAAGTTCTTGAACGAGTCTGACTTCTCGAGCTCGGGCGTAGCGATCGACTTGTCGGAGAAGTTGAACACGGAGTACTTGAGCTCCCTTCTCCTAATGCCGTCATTCGGGCGGTTGGGGTGATGGAAGGAATCTGCCGAAGACGAGAGTGAGTGGTGGAGACTGCTCACGAGGCCGTCAGTCTGTCAGTCACAGTCTGCATGAAGTAGTTCGAGCCACCTCCTCGTCATCTTGGACTCCTCGGGGTCCCTGCGGAAGTACGACATCTCCGACTTGGGTCGAGGGACTGGCTCGGCGGCTGACGCAACTCGCTTTGAGCTGCTCCCTTGCCCTATGGTGGTCGACCGGTGGATGCTCTGACCTATCAAGGCATCAGGTGTGGAAAAGTCTCCAAGAGCAGGTGAGCGCGCAACCTAACGTGCCAGGACTGTCGTCTCCAGCTCCCTCTGGACTCTCACTGCTTCTCCCGCTCGCCCTAGAGGCGCTGCGATGCCGTCTCGAGCTCTCGTTCACCAACCTCTTGGAGCTCATCGTATGCCGGGGAAGAGCCCTCCCTATCGTCATGATGCTGCATCCCTCCCTCCCCCTGTTTTCCTTCTTGCCCTCAGCGGATGCCGACTGAGGGCGTGGAGCCTTGTTGGCTAGGGTTCGATCCGCGACATGGTCGGCGGTCTGATGGACCTGCATGGCGCCAGCCTGCGATGCCGAGCAAGGCTGCACCTCTGCGCTCAACTTCTCTTGCATAGAGTTGCCAGCGACCGTCAGGCTGCCATTCAGATTCGGCACGTCTGAGCCGATGGAAGCGAAGAACGCTAGAGCGCCAGGGAACTTCCGGTGGGCGTTCTTGTGCGAGACCCGCTCTATCATGTCCTCCAAGGTTGCTTGTTTCACAGGCCCAGCAATGTGCAGGTTGATGTCGAGATGCGTCATCTTGGCTGGGAGCAGACACGCTTTCTTCATGTCCTGGGGAGTGACCGCAACCTTGAGGCTTGTTCTCTTCGTGGTGACGCGAGGGCTGCGGAGGAGGAACTTCTCATGGATGCCCTGCAGCCTCTGCATGTCCAGGAACCCTCCATCCTCCTCCTCCTCCTCCTCCTCCTCCTCCTCCTCCTCCTCCTCCTTTGCCCTCCATCCTGCCACCCGCCCACCCTTTCCCCCGTTTCGCCCTCCCCCAGACAACATGGCGGTTGAAAAAGGTTTTGACGTTTTTGTTCTGGGTTTGAAAAGTGAGCAATGGGAGGAAGAGGATCTCAAGCAGACAGAGGAGACGCGAGGAGGAGAGGAGAGGAGAGGAGAGGAGAGAGGAGAGGAGAGGAGAGGAGAGGGCAGGAGAGGAGAGGGGAGGGGAAGGGAGGGCAGGAGAGGAGAGGAGAGGAGAGGAGAGCAGAGGGGAGGAGAGGAGAGGAGAGAGGAGAGGAGAGGAGAGGAGTAGAAGATGGAAGAGGAGGAATTGAAGACAAGGGGATGCATGATAGGTGCATGATAGGAGGAAGACCAATGTGCGGGTTCGAAGAACGAAGAAATACAGCAAGAACGGCAGCAGGGGAAGTCAAGGGAATCTGGATGGAAGGAGAAGGATGGAAGATAGAAGATGTAGCAGGAGGGAAGAGACCTGGAGTGAGGGTGGAGAGTGAAATGATCGTTGCCTCGTATCAGTTCCATTGCCCGGTCATCGATCAACCTACCTACCCTTCACCTCCTCCATGCAAGGCTCCATGTCGGAAAATTCGCCCTCGAGCGCACTGAAAGCAGCACAGAGGCTTGCAACGAGGTGAAGAAGAAAACCATGCGCTCTTCCCTC